GGATTCATACTCCTAAAGGATAATGCTTATCCTTTTACACCCCCCCACTGCTTAAACCAAGTGGGATGGTTTTTACTACGGCCGAACTACCATTTAACCGAAGTAAACTGGCTAAGCTGAGCCATGAAGTAGGTCGAACTACCCTTAGTTCGGCCCTTCCTTTTACTCCTCATATCGGTTCTCCCTTGCATGAACCATGATATGTTGGGACCGAGCTACCGAGTAGCAAGGTATTGACCGATCTGTCCAAGATACGTCATGACCGGACTAACTCGGAGACCGGACTAACTCAAGTTGTCCAAACCGAAGTAGCTTTATAATTCCTGAGCCGAAGTAACTTCATCTCTTTTGACCGAAGTAACTTTATTTCTCATGGGCCGGAGTAACTTCTCAGCCTATTTTACCCAGTCCTTCGTACTTTGGGGCCACAAAGTCCATCTCATATCTCGGCCCAATTTTTCACCAAAAATTACCCTCTCACATATCTAAGTTCTTTGAATACTAGTAAGTTTTGTTTTTAGACTGACATTTTTGTTTAACAACCACCGTGTCCCACATCTCTAGTGAGAGAGAGAGAGAGAGTTTGAATTGTTTTTCATGTGACGCGAATTTGAAAATTCTGATGGAATTAAAGCGAATTCGAACACAAATACGTATTATACGGATTTAAACTGTCGATTGTATCTTGAAGTGGTAAGCCGATCGAATTACTTGTGCGTGTGTATTTTATCATCTGTATACGTAATGAGATTCTGCGTTGTTGAATTTGGCTTGGATTCGTTGACTCTTTTTTTTTTTTTTGGAGATGTTTGGTTTGATCAATGGTGGAATTGTGGAATTATGTTCTGAATTACTTATTTTCTCATCAATTTTCATGTGATCAACTGGAGATCTGATCAGATTTGATTGATTTGTCTCTCTTCTCTTGATCGCACTTGGATCGTATTTATTCCAAGTTTACGGAGTTCCCAGAGTTGTTGATTCCGATTTTTGGTGGAAATTATTTCAAATTCTGGAACTCATTACAATGAAAAAAAAAATGATCTATGAAATTGGAATCTGATCGGTGTAGTTCTGGTGGAAATCACAAGCCTTTCTTGATCTTTAGATTCGTTTTATGTGTATTTGGTTATCTGGATTTAAGTTCAATTCCTAATTGGTTTGTATACAACTGTGGTTGGATTGATACCAAACCCTGAGAAGGTTTTGAGATATGATTTACAGCAATTGGAAGCAATCGGATGAAGATGATTGATGATGAGAAGGGGACGCCGTTGAGGCCAAATTGGGAGATGAATTTGTATGTGTTTGGTCTGTTCAATAAGAACATGAAACCAGGGAGAGGAATTCTGGGTTGTTCATGGCGGATAGGATGCCGGTATATTTACGCAAACTCGACGGAGGTCCAACTATGAGTTTTGAAACGCCGACTCGGAGATTGAGTCCACCGCTTCTTTTTCTCTCTCTTCATTAAATTTTGGAAAGTCAATTGAAAATGTTTTAAATTAAATTTGCCGACTTTGAAATTGGGTCCACCGCTTCTTTTTCTCTCTCTTCATTAAATTTTGGAAAGTCAATTGAAAATGTTTTAAATTAAATTTTCTAATTTGAAATAAATATATAAATATGGCATGTTTATGTGTTTGGCAAAATGGTTTTTTCCGATATTTTAAAGAAATTATTTGATGATTTTGAAATATTTTTTTAACAAACTCGTAACAGAATTTGGTATCGGTGTGATGGTTTGTTTTAATTCACTATTTCTTTTTGTCATTAGATTCTGGACATGGGCCAATCTATTTGGTACCATTCAAAATATTCTGGGCTTAGATTTGGGTCCAATAGTAATGACAAATTATTGGGCCGAGCATTAATGGGTAATGATTTAAATTTTTATGAAGTGGCTCATATATTTATTTTTATTTTTTGGGTTAGTGTTATGATTCTATTTATAACTTGTTTCTTCTTATTTAAATAAATGTTCTGATTGGATATGACCATGATTAACTTTTATTTGAGGAATACTATGCATTTAAATTTTATAATTGTTAGAATTTGAATTATGCATATTTGTTTATAAGTTAGTATCTCAAGTTCCTCTTAAGAAAAGGCACAAATATTTGACAAATATTTTGTGAAAGTTTTCCAAAATGTGTTTTTAAAATCAAGATATGATTACTAAAATCTGGTATGAGTTTTGGTTTGTAAATTCTCAAAACTTGAGAAAATATAGAGTATATGTTATATATTTGGGAAAATTTTCTGAATGTAATTTGATGTCATTAATTGATATATTTGATATATTGATTTGGTATATGGTGTATTATAGATGGATGACAATTATTTATCCAAGTGTTGATAAAAATGTAAACTTATGTGTTTTTACATAAGAGGAATTCTAACTATTCTTTGGAATAATAACTGTGAAATTAGTGTGGTAACCGATAACTCCGTAATGAAATATTATATGAGTTAAAATATTTCATAAGTGAAAAATGCTTTGGTAATTGTCGACGTAGTCACCAATACTAGATAAAACAAATAAGATGTAAATGTAATTATACAGTGATATTTATATTCCATGTTGAGTTTGGAATTAAAGGTTGCAGTAAACAAAAAGAAATAATGCATGGCTAAAGAAATGTTATTTGACAAAATGTTGTGGCCACAACCAGTATTAGCCATTGTTCCTTTCTACTACAAAAGAAAGTTATGAAGTCTAATTGTATTATAGACAAATTAGTATTATGATTATATTCATAAAGCAATTTACATCTTGTTCAAGCACGCTAATTAATGATATATTCTTATTTACCTTAGAATTGTGGGGGTGTATTAATATTTTTGTATAATTATACATCAGCAAGAGAAATTAAGTTTTTTTAGAATGCTTCAAATGTAGGGGTGCTTGGAGGATTTTACAATAGTAACGGTTCTGATAATAGGTCCACAAAAAATCTCAATTCTTTCTATAGGACAAAGTTGGAGTAAAAGCAAAAATGGTTTTATTAACTCCTAAGGAACAACTCTATATTTATTATTTAAATTTGAAAATAGAAGTGACACAGAGTAACGGTAAGTCTCGATATAATCAAAAACTTAATACCGTAGGACATTTGCTTTCAGTTGTGAATATTGTCTAAGGATAATATAATGTATCCACTAATTGAGAAGGTCAAACGAAAAATAGCGGTCGCTAAACAAAAAGTTTGACTAGAGAGCAAATGAGGGAAAGTTCATCGAGGGGAATGTGATTAAAGCCTATTACATCAGAGTCATTATAATGGTAACTCTACTTAGATGACTGGAGATCCCAAGAACTAAGTTCAAAGGGATAACTAAGTTATGTGTGGCTCAGCAGAAATCACTAAAGGAGTCTATCTCATATACATTCCTATAATGAGAGTGATATCTGTAACATGTATTGTATGTAGGGGACTTAGGGTAAGCTATACTTTTAATGATCACTTATATCTTGAAAACCCTAGAGGGGTATCTTTCAAGAGGAGTATTTAAGAGACTCGAAATAAGGATCACCTATATGAGTATGAAGGGGCCGCTTCTATGAGAATTAATAATGCGAATTTGCTCTCGAAGTGGTTGTTAAATTGGGGTTTTTGGTTACGACTACTGGTAGATATTTATAAATGCTTTTTAGAGATTGTGCATTGTAAAATTGGAAGTTTTGGTAAATTATTACAGTTGGGTGTTGGAATTAGGGATTTTGATATGCCGGGTTGATATTAATTTATGCGAATTTGCTCTCGAAGTGGTTGTTAAATTGGGGTTTTTGGTTACGACTACTGGTAGATATTTATAAATGCTTTTTAGAGATTGTGCATTGTAAAATTGGAAGTTTTGGTAAATTATTACAGTTGGGTGTTGGAATTAGGGATTTTGATATGCCGGGTTGATATTAATTTATGCGAATTTGCTCTCGAAGTGGTTGTTAAATTGGGGTTTTTGGTTACGACTACTGGTAGATATTTATAAATGCTTTTTAGAGATTGTGCATTGTAAAATTGGAAGTTTTGGTAAATTATTACAGTTGGGTGTTGGAATTAGGGATTTTGATATGCCGGGTTGATATTAATTTATGCGAATTTGCTCTCGAAGTGGTTGTTAAATTGGGGTTTTTGGTTACGACTACTGGTAGATATTTATAAATGCTTTTTAGAGATTGTGCATTGTAAAATTGGAAGTTTTGGTAAATTATTACAGTTGGGTGTTGGAATTAGGGATTTTGATATGCCGGGTTGATATTAATTTATGCGAATTTGCTCTCGAAGTGGTTGTTAAATTGGGGTTTTTGGTTACGACTACTGGTAGATATTTATAAATGCTTTTTAGAGATTGTGCATTGTAAAATTGGAAGTTTTGGTAAATTATTACAGTTGGGTGTTGGAATTAGGGATTTTGATATGCCGGGTTGATATTAATTTATGCGAATTTGCTCTCGAAGTGGTTGTTAAATTGGGGTTTTTGGTTACGACTGCTGGTAGATATTTATAAATGCTTTTTAGAGATTGTGCATTGTAAAATTGGAAGTTTTGGTAAATTATTCCAATTGGGTGTTGGATTTTGGGATTTTGATATGGCGGGCGATGTTAATTTATATGTGATTTTGCGTTGGAAGTGGTTGTTAAATTAGGGTTTTTGGTTTGGACTACAGGTTATTTATATATGCTTTTCAGAGCTTGTGCATTGTTGAATTAAAAATTTTTGTAAATTATTTCCATTGGGTGTTGAAAATTAGGGATTTTTATATGGCAGTGGATGTTAATTTATGCAATTTTTCTTTGGAAGTGGTTGTTAAATTGGGGTTTTTTGGTTTGGACAACAGGTAAATATTTATAAATGCTTTTTAGAGCTTGTGCATTGTAGAATTGGAAGTTTTTGTAAATTATTCCAATTGGGTGTTGGAAGTAGGGATTTTGATACTGCGGGCGCTGTTAATTTATGTGATTTTGCTCTGGAAGAGGTTGGTAAATTGGGTTTTTTTTGTGTGTGTGTGGTATGTCAGAGGATGATACTCTACACATAACTCTACAGAAGAGGGACAAAGGACAGACGTGGCCGTCTCCTATACTGGGTGAGGGACAACTCGATCCTTATTCAGTGGATGTTGAACAGAAGCGCCTTATGCTTCAGAGATTTCAAGAGGAGGTCAGTCAGAACCCTTGGTTTTTTGATGATGAAATTTGTTGCATTTGTCATTTACTTGTTACCATAGTTGATTCGTGCTTCTTGAATAACACAGAAAGCCATTTGTAATACTAGCCCTTTGCTTATGCAATCTTGGAAATGATCAGTGATGGTTTTGACTGAGGAAACAGACGATTATAGAATTAGACAGTGGGAGACTATTTTGACCCAAATGTTTCTCTTAGGCCTAATTCCAATGTGTTCTTTGAATCGGATGCTCTTTGCTTTCAGTGGTTTCATTGGCATTTTACATAGCATCATAGTTGTCAAATCGGGATTCGTATCGTGAATCGAAATGGTTTCATACCGAATCGCAAATCGAACCGAATCGTGAATCGTAAAGATTCGGTCACTTCTTCTAAATTATTTAAAAACATATATTTACACATTTAGATGTTAAATATATCTTATGAATATAAAATATTTAAACTTAAATCAATAAAAATGTTATTTTGAATGATAATCACGTAGTTTAATAAGTAAGAAGTTAACAAACGTTCTTATGTAAGATCACCATCTTATCTTTTTTTTCGTTTTTAGATATTTCTTATCAACCATTCTTAATAAAAATAATAACCAAATAGACAAACTATCAATTTCTAAAGTAACAATAATTAACAACGATATTAATATTTGGACAATAAGCATACATACTTTTCTAAGTAACAGTGAGCAAATAATAAGAAAGAATCATTTAGAATCTTTTTTTTTAAAGCCTAAAATATTTTAAAAAGTATAACTGACCTCATAGATGTAATATTTAATTTAATAAAATAGTAATAGATAATTCATAGTGTAATTTTAATCTTAAACATCTTTAGAAAATATATTGTGATTTTTTAAAGGAAAAAAGAAATGAGAAGAAAGGTTAAACATATGTTGGGTTTGACTAAAATTAATTGGATCCTATTAAAACCTTCATGATCACTAAAATAACAACAAATCATGTATATATGCTGGTTATTTTGGTATTAAACGCTATTAGAAGTTGTATTATGTCATTTTTACTAAAAAGATGGAAGAAAAATAGAGTCGAAAATATGTCGGAAATAATAATTTTAAAAATTGCATGAATCGTAAAAAGCGAATCGAATCGTAAATCGATTGTGAATCGTGCGATTCACTAGAGATTCACTTCTAAAATAGATTCACCCTTAGATACGTATCGATTTTGCAAAAATTGCAAATCGAATCGTGAATCGAATCGCAAATCGAATCGCAAATCGTAAGATTCTAATAACAGAGCATAGCATTTAAATGTAGAAAATTACTGTATTAAAGTGATGGCAAAAAATTGGAATTTTGTCATTTCAAGGAAAGCTAAAAATAGATACATTTCATGAGATATTAATCAAGCCCTCCATATTGACCAGTCCTGATAGGATGATGGATTTTCACTTCACATGCCATGGAAAGTTCTATGGAGTCATTCAAACACAAGGGGTGATGCAGGATAACATTTACAAAAATGAGTTTAATATGGGCAAAAAAGGCAAACTAGTTACTTTCTGAAAGATGATTAAGAAGAGGAAGAATAGAGGAAAGAGGCATAGTTTGAAGAGTCACACTTTAGTAAATCAAGAGAACTTGCTCCTTATTCAAGAACAAGGGAACCCTAGATAATAAGATTTAGGGTCTCACTCACTTGCAACTAAGAGAAGATAATGGGGGAGAATTTTTATTTTTTTTTAATGATATACAATTCGTTCATTTTAGTTATTTCACAAAAAGAAAAATGAAGAAAACCGGGGATCTCATGAATTTCATGTAGTATTCAGTTTCACGTATAAGATACGAAGACTTACTTCCCACTTGGAATTGCATAGAACAAGAACAGAAATATTTTTATGCATCAAAAACCCCTGGTTTAGCAGGCTAAATGTATTAACAAAGGCATCACAAATGATATGACTCGGGATATTGATTTTGGTTTAGTTCTGGCTCAATCAAAAATGATATGGACCCAGTATTTTGGGTCACATTAAGTGCTGCATATTTGTTTACTTCCATATTTTTGTTTGTAATGCTTCAACTCCGAGGTATTCGCGTGCTATATGTTTATGTTGTTTACAATTTATGTAAATTCTTTTTTTTCTTCATTGTAGTCTTGTTGGTTTCCAGAGGTGTAAATAACCTTAATTAGGTAAGCAGCTGAAGTTTGAGTTCTGCTCAGTTTTGTGCAGCAATATCAAAATGACAAATGGAACATGGTAGTTGACAGGATTCTTGCAAGTTCATATTAATAGATTGAATGTAATAGGAAAGGGATTTACTCGTTATGAAGTTTTTAGCTTGAAGAAATGGCAATAGATTGTTGATTCTTACCCACAGGGCCACAGCCATAATAGATGCCTAATGAAGTTATGTTAGTTAGTTCTTTTATGTTATTATATATATTGAGTATAGTTTCGCCCTTCTTTATATAATATTTCCAATGCTTTCCATTCATGGTATTTGCATCGCGTTGTTTCTGACCAACTGGATATAATGAATCCATGATATTTCAAGACTTTTCCAGTGGAGTTGAGATGTGTCATGGAATGCTAAGGTGATCCTTCCTCCTCCTCGTCCTTCTTCTTCTTTTTTTTTCTTTTCAGTCTCGTCCATGTTTGGTGGTGTGTTAACTTCCCAAACGAAGATTTGCAATAATCACACATCAAGCGTGATTGGATAGCATCATTATTACTCATATTTTGTTGCCTCTGTTTGTCTGACCCAACATAAGTAGCTTTTGCACACTGCTATGATGGCCTGATTAATTTGATTAACCGAAATTATAGTGGCAGTCAATATTTAGGGGAACCTGATTGTTTAATACACATACATATCATTATGTTGCTATTTTTTTGTTTTGAATTGTTTTCTTTGATTCCTTAAATTATAGTTTATGTCTTCCAATATTTTTCTAATTGAATTTCCTGTTTACTCTTGCTGTTTGCAGAACCCAGGATTTGACTTCTCACAGGCTCAGTTTACAGGAAACTGCCCTGATCCAAGGACATTCATGGGTGGTATCAGATCTGATTGACAAACTTGTATACCTGAATCTGAAATGAACAATGAGATTAACTCCTTGTCTTAACAATTTAATAAGTAGAATGTTAAATTAAACCTGCTTTTAAATGCTTAGCTTATCCCTCTATCTATGAATGCGACTTTTGTAATATATATATATATATATATTTTATGTACATAGATTGCGCAGTGCTTATAGCCATATGCTTCTTGTACCTTGCACAATATATCCTTCACTTTGTAGTTTGGATATCTTTTATCATGTCAGATGGTTATAATTTGGTAGATTGTCTCTGAATCTTTTTTACCACACTTAAAATTCACATTTTTGGATTAGAAATATATTCATTCAAAGGAGGCAGATGCAATGGAAGATTACCCGATTAAGAGTTGTATCTTTCATATTGGATGGGAGGAGATGCAAAGAGGAAATTCTGAAGTTATGAGGCCATGCAAAGAAGAGTACCCATGGAACTGAGAGGCCTGGAAAATATGTATTATATGATGTCATATATGCATGTTCTCTGAATTACTCAGAAAGCTAGCATGTACATTGCTTGGTTGACATTTGGTGAAGAAATTTAAGAGGTTATTTGACACACTGATGAGGGAATATGCTGATGGGGTTATATACCCGCTATAGAAATTATTGGTTGAAAGAATCAAACAATTTAAACTATTCTCAAGTACAATTTTCTGACTTTATGGGATCAAGGACTACAGAAAAAATATTTGCATTGGAAATTTGATTTAATTCAAGTGATCTTTTTATAAACTGAGGATGAGGATGAGGTAAATGGAGGTGTAAATTGTAGAAATTGCAGTGACAGGCACAATAATCGTTTTGAAATTTGGGGTTTACAAAACTTTAGCTTGAAGGAAAAAAGTGGTTAGCTAAACTGCCATGGGTTTAGGCTGGTAATGTGTCTGTCTTACAAGGCTGCAATGTTGATCTAGTTATGCTGATCTAGTTTAGCAAGTGTGGCCATATTATAGTACAATGGAGGAGATTCTTTCACAGAGTGGGTATGTATGATCTGTAAATATGGCTGTTCTTTTGTTAGGGTTTGTTTGGGAGGTGGATTAGCTTTTTGGCTATTTTAGCTTGAGACAAAAAGCCTCGTTTGGGAAGAATTTTTTAGTTTTTTTTTGACTTTTTGTGAAAGAAAAATAAATAAATAAAAGAAAAAAGATTGAATGTATATTTAGTTTTGGTTGTGAATCTTAAAAAAAAAAAAAGACATATGGGGAAATTAGTGGGTATCCATCCCCAACCCATCCCCTGTGGATATTCAAAGAATATCACCTACCCTACCAAATGGATAAGAAAAAAGGGAAAAATCCATGTATTTGGGTTGGGTCTCCATGGATACCCACAGGGTAGGTTATCCATTGCCATCCTAGGGAAAAAGGTACACATTTACTTTGTTAAATATATATATTTCCAATTAGTGAAGATTAATTACAAATATGAAGTATTATATCAAATTAGACAATTATACTTCAACAACACATAAGGAATTACATGCAGGTGAGAGAAGGGAAAAAAAAATTATCAAACACATGGGGGTGTAAGTGTGTTTGTGGTGGGATGCAAAAAAAATTCTGTGGGCCTACAAGTGTCACTCACCCCTCCATGTCTTGGTAATTATATTTTTTTCTAACTCCCGCCTGCATGTAATTCCCCTTAACTAGAAACCCAACAATTACCAAGCCTAATAAAGAAGTAAATAAACAATTAAATACAATCCCATTATGGTAGAAAAATAATTAATTTTTTCAATTAGCAATAATTAACTTATTGACCTCCTGTGGTCAACTAAGTTTGTTAAATCCTATCTTCAACCTGCAATTTTATAATATCACTATAAAATTACAATTTTAATTCATTCTTAGTTTTAAGAACCTAATGGAATAATTTATTTTTAAACATAAACTCACAAGTTCAACTTGTAATTTCATTAAACATAAAATAAGTTCATTTGCAACTTCATTTGCAAAAAGTGGTGGAATGAAATAAAATACATTCCTTAACCTTTGATTTTACGAAAGTACCTAAATTTAGAAAATAAACTAAAATTTATGAGTTTAAGAAATTTATTTCAAAACTATCCGTGATGTGTAAAAATCTTCCTTTTCATTAGAAAGAAATAAATGATAGAAAATGAAAATGATAGAGAGTGAAATAAAAGAAAAGGAAAGGAAAGTAAAATATATATTTTTTTTGTATAAATTTGATTAGGATGCAAAGTTTATAAGAAAATAGGAATTCTAATTATAATAGCTACCTTTATAACATATTTTAACTTTATTACATTTTTCTGTATTTTTTGTAAGAAACTAGAAACTTAGTTACCATGCTATTATGAATTGTATAAGAAAATTAACTTTTTTGTAACTTTCACCATTTTCATACTAAAAAAATGAAAAATGTTTGAGGGTTAAAATTTTTGTGGCTCAAATGGCTCGAAATTGCCAAAACGACGTCGTTTTGGCAATTTCGAAGTTGTTTTGTACTCAAAACGACATCGTTTTAGCAATTTCGAGCCATTTGAATCACAAAAATTATGACCCTCAACCATTGTTGTAAAAAAATTCATTTTTTTTTTCATTTCTTTCACTTTCTATAATTTTCATCATAACCAGAAGAATAATAGCAACGTGAAATTTTCCATCATACCAAGAAAAATAATAATAATAGACAAGAAGAATCAAATATTCAGTTGTTACATAAGAATATTAATAATAGCAACATGCAGAATCAAATATTCAGTTGTTATTTAAGAATATTATGGAGAGAAGACCACAAATTTTTTTTAAAAAAATTCACAATAAACAATAATATAAGACTGATTGATAACCGTGGTTTAATACACATGGTTAATCCTGAAATTATGTTACTTTTCTTAATCATCTTCCAAATCATAAGATTACGTGCAAGGAGGGTTTCATAATCAATTTCTTTTTCAATATATATAACAATGACTTATGATAAAAAAAATCATTATTATAATTAATTAAACATTTGGTGAACTAGGAGGCATTAATTAGTTGAAAAAAGTGGGATGGGGTTTCATAGAGGGTCCTACCATGTTATGAGAACATGCAAGTACCGGCCTTTGCGGTCCTTTCTATTCATGCCATCATTTTCATATTTTTGGAGCCATTCATTTTGTTTTCACTTTTCGCTTTTCAGAAAATTTTACTATTTTATTTTCTGTATTTTTTTATTTTTACTAAATTTTTTTAATATTTTAAACAATTTTTTTATTTTTTAGACACACTTAACATAAATACACCTAAAAAGTAAAAAAATTATAAAAAAAATCCTTTAAAAATTCACTAAATATCAAAAATACAAAAAAAAAAAACAAGAATTCACTACATTTTTTGTAATTTTATGTATTTATTAATTTTTTTAAATATTTTTTCACAATTTTTTTATTTTTTAGATACATCTAAGTAAGGTGCATTTTAAAAAAGTAAAAAAAATATTTAAAATTTAAAAAATATTCACTAAAAACAAAAAAAATACGAAAACTAAAAAAATCAGTTTTCAAAAAACTTAATCTAGAAAACTCAAACCAAACACACTGAATTTTATTTTAATTTTTTTAAAAATATGATTAATTAAACTTAGTGCCCTTGTATTTTATTATAATCTCATTTTGGTTAATCCTTAACTTTCAATTGTGATAGTTAATATCTTACATTTAAGTCAAGTTGAAATGTAATTTTTTTTTGTTTATCTACTGTTAATAAGGTTAACAAAAACTAAAAGGCTAGAGGCCTAAAAAATTTTACACTATCTGTACTCACAGAGACGTGGGTCTCATATGATGTGAGTCATACACACATGTGACTATTGTGTAAAATTTTTAATAATTTGTTTAGAATCCCTAACATTAATCTAACGAAAATTAAAAGTAAATGGATTCAAATGAGATTTGTGAAAGTATAAGGATTAAAATGAGAATTTGATGGAAGTATACGAGGAGAGTGCTAATGAGACGAAAAAAATGTCACTTTTAGCTTACATGACAACTTGCATTAGCCATATTAATAGTAGCTAGACAGAAATGTGATATTACAATTAAAATGTAGTGGGTTTAATTGTCACCATTAAAAATAAAGAGACCAAAGTAAAATTATAGTAGAAGTTAAGGGTATTAAGTGTAATTAACTCATATCTATTCTATATAATAAAGTAACTTATTCAAAAAGAAAATGAGAATTGACTTGTGGAAAATGAAAACAGAGAGAACATTTGAGATGTTATACCTAGCATTTTCTTTATTATCTCCTTTTTGAAAAGAAAAAATTGCGACATTAAAAACATCCCTTCTTAACATGAATCCAATGCAATTCTCTATCCAAATCTTCCAGTTTGTCTCTTTTGTGAGAGGATATTGTGAAGGTGGAACTGAGGATTTATGCATCTATAAAAGCTATCCCTTCAAGATTTATAAAGCCACAGAAAAAGTTATGTACTCAAAATTTTTATTTAGAATTTAAATGTGTCGTGTAAATTTTAATTTAGTGACGTATATCATATTCAGAATAAATTTGATCAATATATTTCGAATTGTTGACGATTTTTAAGTAAAAATTATGATTACATAGCATTGCTGATAAAATTGAGGTTTCTAAAATGATATGATATCTTTTCTTTGATATTGATTTCTCAACAAGAATCTCTCATGAATATCAACAAATATACAATAAAAAAGATCCAATGCAATTTTTGGCTTTGATCTGAAGTCAGAAAATCATGGCTTTCCAATCAATTGATGGTAAAAATGTCAAAATTTTAAGATCATATATGTACTTCCCTTGATGAATAACTCAAATAAATACTACTAAATAAACTTGAAACAAATTTTGATGCATTTTACTTTAGCATTTGCTCTTTCTTACATATATAATTTATTGGCTAGTTGGTTAGCCAAGAGATCCTGTACTTTCGAACTTTCACATATATATGTAAGTCTTCTCTCTTATTGATTGACAAAAAAATTAAAAAATTCATGTAATTGATATTATTAACATTTGTTATTTCTTGTAACTAGCTTCAATGTTGTATCATCACAAGGTTGACAAATTTGAGCCATAGGACACATATTTTCCTTTTTAGATTCAAAGATAAGTGCAAGATTTCATTTTGAAAAATATTTTCTATTAAAAATTTTAATAGAAAATACA